GCGTGACTACTTTTGTCCACTAAGTGAACTGTCCTTTCAGTGTGGTGCAGGAGTTGCCATTCTTTAGTAGAAATAGCCGCAAAACTTCACATAAAGGAGGTGAGGGAGCTTAAAATCCCCTTCACTGGACTCTGTGTCCAGAAGTAGGTAGTATCTTGTCGTCTATGACTTGAATAAGTGGGTCGAAGGCGTTGACATTGATAAAAGACTGATGTGCAGCACTGCGACCTTCCAGATGGCAATGTCCGTGCTAGCGAATTGGTGAATGAAGTGCAATGCAGTTTTAAGGAATCGCAGCAGTGGAATGCATTCGATTTCTGGCCAAGCATTAAAAAACTTTTTGTATTCTAATGTTAGCATTTCCTCCCCCCTTCCTCCAAAAAAAGGACAGAACTTACATGAGTAAATGGTAAGCACGAAGGGTTTAGCCTTGTGCCTGAACTGTGAGTTGCTGTTTTTTATGCTGCAAAAGCTGACTCTTGCATGGTCATTTGGAAGTAGGATTAACTTTCAGTCCAACTCGCACAGGTTCAGGACGACTTGGTTACATTCTAAGGCAACTGGACAACCGTGGAATTGGTCCGTCGGGAGGTCCAGTGCCGTGTTTGATTTTGGAAGGAAATATCCGAACCTAATTTTGGTGGTGTAGTTACTTTCACTCGTGTCGGTGGCTGTGAGGTCTGTTGCTGTGCTGCTGTCTGCCCGCTAAGGTGAAGCGCGTTCCCGTGTAGATATCGTCAGTTGATCGAACGAGGTGTCCAAACCCCCTCCTCTTCGCGGTACCCATACAGGTTGATGCGCTTTCCTCTACTTTAAGAGAACTTTAAATCTCCTAATTGGGTTTGTGTGGAGGGTTTACAAGTTTTGTTTGCCTTGCCTCAGGTCACGTACTATTGAAATGTCAGAGGAGGTGTGCAGCTTGCATTTGATCGAGCGAGACTGTAGAAAGTTTTTTGAATCTATGCAAGAAAAGAATGGGAAGGAACTGTAGAATAGTATGCTTGTAATTATTACTGCAAAGTGATTTAGGTTTTTGCTGTTGATGTGTAAATTGTTCTGGTCGTTGAACGCGCTGAGCTTAAGGAATGGCAGAAGCGCTCGCTTAGGAGCTTTCTCCACTGGTGTTTCAACAAATTGAGGCACGTTACCCTTAGGAAGACGTTCAGGCTATACATATACATATATATATATGTATTGAGATGGTAAAAGTTTATGTATCACTTGATGCCAACAAGCCACATTGTCTCACGTCAGCGTTCGCCAACGCATCGGAGCATGGCACTTTGAAAGGTCTACCATTAATTGTGAAGCTGGACAGGTTATTGGCACTGAGACGCGGATCGAAGCGCGGTGGCTAAACTTGTTTAGCAAATAAACAAAATGGGGAAAATCTATTGCTCCTCCCTTCCAAACGGTGTCTTTGGTGCTCCCGTTAGTTGCTCATCCAATTCAGATGCTGGGAGTCTTCTTGTGAACTGCAGTTGACTGCATGACTAGAAGGTTGGTGTTGTGATGGAGTCGTAACATAAGGAGAATGTTACCCTTTTCGATACCATCTGTCTACCATTCTATTGACTTCCCGCTGAACCATCTGCGCGGAAGAGAGATTTTGTTTGTGAACAGTAAAGAAAAGCTGAGCGAGGTTCTTCGGCTTGCACCTGATCAGAAGATTTGCGGGAAGGACGTTGTGTCATGTCTGTTGAGTGTGGTTTTAATCGTCACGTACATGAGGGATTATGTCAGCTCTTTTAAACCTGATATCACGCTGTCGCCGGCCACTACGCAAAATTAAGAAAGTGGTAAATGTCAACTTTGGTTTCAACAACTGCTTTTTCGTGAGTTAGGTGGAGATTTGGCCATCTGCTACCGACGTCCACCTTTCATGATCTTCAAGTGTGGCATTGGAAGTGATGTGGATTCAGAATGGCGTCGATTCCATGCGTAAGTATGCTGACAAGTCGGTTCCTTTGTACTCAAGGGACTAGTCGTTGTCGGAGCCTTTGATTACGACAAGATGATTTCCATGGTTTTTTTACTAATTCCGCATTCTTAGGTAATCTCGACCTGAGGAAATACTTCAGTTGTCACTGGCACTTTTTCCACTACTTTTTTCAGTTTTTTTGGGTC